TACTCCTGGTTTCAGCTCTGGATGTGATCTCAGGGTCATGAGATCAAGCCCTGCGTCAGCTCCGCGCTCAGCGCAGAGTCTGCTTGAGATTCTCTCTCCCTCTCCCTCGGCCCCTCCCACTCGTGTCCTCTAGCTCTCTCTAAAATAAAAAAAAATAAAAAAGCAAAGCTCAGCTCTGTGTAAGGGTCTGAGATGCTCCCCTCTGAAGAAAGAACCTGAGGTTTGGCCCCATTATTGTGTACACACATTGTTTTTTTCTGAGGCCTTGATTATCTACTCCCTGTTTTTCTTTTTTTTTTTTTTAAAGATTTTATTTATTTGACAGAGAGAGACACAGTGAGAGAGGGAACACAAGCAGGGGGAGTGGGAGAGGGAGAAGCAGGCTTCCCAACGAGCAGGGAACCCGATGCGGGGCTCGATCCCAGGACCCTGGGATCATGACCTGAGCTGAAGGCAGACACTTAAGGACTGAGCCACCCAGGCGCCCCTTTTTATTTTTTTAATTTGATATGATTCACACACCATAAAATCCACCCTTTTGAAATGTACAGTGCAGTGACTTTTAGGATATTCACAAGGATTCTGCAACTCTCACAATTATGTAATTTCCGGAACATTTCCTCACCCCCAACAGAAACCTCGTACTCATTAGTAATCAATCCCCACTGTACTTTCCCCCAGCCCTAGGCAACCACTAATTGACTTTCTGTCTCTATGGATTTTCCTATTCTGGACATTTCATATAAACAGAATCATAGAATATGTGGCCTTTTGTACCTGCTTCTTTCACTTAGCATCATGTTCTCAAGATTCATGCACATGGCAGCATGTATTTACGGCTGAGTACTATTCCATTGTCTGGACATACCACATTTGTTTTTCCATTCATCAGCTGATAGACACTTAGGGGATCTCCACGTGTTGACTATTATGAATGGTGTTGTGAACATTCATGCACAAGTTTTTGCATGAACATATCTTTTCAATTCTCTTGGGCATATAGTACACCCAGGAACGGAACTGCAAGATCACATGGTGATAGTTAACATTTTGAGGAACTGCCAAACTGTTTTCCAAAAGGGCTGCACCATTTATTTTTCCCAGCAGCAGTGTATGAGTCTTCCAATTTCTCTACAGCCTTGCCATCTTTCTGACTGTCCCTTGTTTTAATTATAGCCATGCTAAGCAGATGAAGTGGTACCTCATTGTGATCTTGATGCACATCTCCCTAGTGATATTGAACATTTTTATGTTCTTATTGACCATTTGTGTATCTTCTTTGTAGAAATGCTATTCAAATCTTTTGCCCATTTTAAATTGGGTTGTCATTTTACTGATTAGTTAGAAGAGTTAAAGAACTCTTTGTGCACCTGGCTGGCTCAGTTGGTAGAGCATGCGACTCTCAATCTCAGGGTCAGGAGTTCAAGCCCCACACTGGGTGCGGAGCCTACTTAAAAAAAAAAAAAAAAAAAAAAAGAATAAAAAGAGTTAGACTCTTACTTAGGATATTTAAGATACTAGGCCCTTATTAGATACATGTTTTATAAGTATTTTTCACATACTGTGGGTTGCCTTTTCATTTTCTTGACGGTGTCCTCTGAAGCACAAAAGTTTTCAATTTTTTTCTGTTTTTCGTTTTGTCACCCACCTGTGCTTTTGGTGTCATATCTAAAAAACCACTGACTAATCCAAAGTCACAAAGATTTACACTTATATTTTCATCTGAGTCTTACAGTCTTGCTCTTACACTTGGGCGTTTGATCCATTTTGAGTTAATTTTTATATATGGTAAGAAAGACAGGGGTCCAACTTCATCATATGCATGTGGATATCCAGTTGTTCCAACATCATCAATTGAAAAGACTATTCTTTCCTCATTGAATTGTCTCGGCACCTTTACTGAAAATCTCATTTTTTTAAAAACTAAATTCCCATGGTTGTTCAGCAACTACAGTCAAACATATGACAAATATGCAACTGCATGTGATTAAGATGTAGGTACGTGAGGTAACAGGGTGATGGGTATTAAAGAGGGCACGTGTGGTGATGGGCACTGGGTGTTATACGCAACTAACAAATTGTTGAACACTACATCAAAAACTAATGATGTACTATATGTCGGCTAATTGAACATAATAAAAAAATCCATACAGCAGCTTTGTATGATAAAAAAATAATAAAATAAAGATTTTATTTATTTATTTGAAAGAGAACACACAAGCATGAGCAGGGGGAATGGCAGAGGGAGAGGGAGAGGGAGAAGCAGGCTCCCCGCGGAGCAGGGAGCCGGGGGTGGGGCTCCATCCCAGGACCCCAAGATCATGACCTGAGCTGAAAGCAGACACTTAACCACCTGAACCACCCAGATGCCCCCAAAGGAAATCTTTCAATAAGTATAACAAAAATCAGAAATAACAAAAAAGAATTGGCAGCAATTTTTCTTTCTTAATAGGGCTTAAAGTAGGGAAACTACCTCTGTAGGGAGAGTTGGGACTCCCACTTTTTGCTTTATCCAGTTCTGTATTGTTCGAATTTGTTACAAAGAACATGTTTTACTTTCCTAATTGAGATGGTCTTTTAATCTTTATAAACAATTGCTTAACTTCAAAAAAAAAAGAGAAAAAAAAGATGTAGGTATGTGAAAAGTCCCAGCTGTAATCAGCATTTACTTTCACTTTATACAAACTAAGAGTACTCTGGCTAGTACACTGGGTATATTCACTGTGGTGATGGTTCCATGGGTGTGTGTGTGTACATATATGTATGTCAAACTTACAAAATTGTACACTTTAAATATGTGTTTTTTATATGTCAATTATACCACAAAAAAGCTGTTTTTAAAAACAGATAAAGGGCAAGAATATAAATGAAATAACTTTCTTTTCCTAATCATTTTTCAAGATCAGCTTCTCTCATTGGTCCTGAGGATATAATACCAACTAGTAGTTTAGAAAAACTTATTTACACATTTCTCCTACCTGCCTTGTTCCAAAACACAAGCAAACCATTTATTTTTTAAGATTTTATTTTTAAGTAATCTCTACACCCGGGGCGCCTGGGTGGCTCAGTTGGTTAAGCGACTGCCTTCGGCTCAGGTCATGATCCCAGGGTCCTGGGATCAAGCCCTGCATCGGGCTCCCTGCTCCGCAGGAAGCCTGCTTCTCCCTCTCCCACCCCCCCTGCTTGTGTTCCCTCTCTCTCTGTCTCTCTCTCTGACAATTAAATAAATAAAACCTTAAAAAAAAAAAAAAAAGGAATCTCTACACCCAACATGGGGCTTGAACTCACAACCCCAAGATCCAGAGTCACATGCTTACCAACTGAGCCAGCCAGGCGCCCCCAAAACACATGCAAACCATTTAAATTCAAGATTTGTAAGGCTGGGACCATCTCATTACTGTGGGATAAATATTAACAAGAGCTGGAACTGAGTTTGGCTCTTAAGGAAAGAATTTTTAAGTCCCCTTCCAACGAGAATTTAGCAGCTATATATTCCTTTTCTACATAGAATTTAAGCCCTCCCAACTGCACCAAGCTCAATTTTGGCAGAGACTTCATCTGCCTGTTCACCCTCACATCCCTAGCATCAAGAATACTGCCAAACACACAACAGGCACTCAGTAATATCTGTCAAATGAATGGATAAAATCCCACTTAAACTTAATCACCACCTTTTCTTAGGACCATTTTGGACTGAGCCAGGTGGCAGCTCTATTCTTCCTTCTAACTTAACAATTCCATCTCTAGAGATAGATGCTGTCTATTTCCTTCAAATTTTATTATTCACTTTTTTCATCTGGAAAAACAAGGTGGTGCGGCTTAGGAACCTCACATCCAGGAAATGAACTAAAATATTTTATCAAAGATTATACATAGGATCCACAAACTAGAAGCAATCAGGTGAGAACGGTTAGGAAAATCATGGCATACTCTCTGGAAGAAACAGCCCATTTATTAAAAATGATCATTATGACAAGTCTGCAATAACATAGAAAACACTAGTAGTATGAACCAGGAAAAAAAAACCATCATTGCCTGTGATTTACAAACTAAAATTTTATACACGTCTACCTGTGAGAATTTATACTCCACGAAGGCAGGCTGTTTGGGCTTGTTCTGTTAACTGAACAGGGCCGGGCATATTGAAGGTGCTTATTAATACTTATTGAATGCATTAATGAAACTCAATATAAAATATATCTTTGAAAACATACCTGAAAGGGAATGAACAAACGTGGAAAATTATGTTCGAGGAGTAGAATCGTGGGCGTTTCCTCCACTTCCCTTTATTTTCCAATTCTCCCTAAAGTTGTGATACAACTTCCTCAGTTGAAAGGATGGCCACAGAAACCCTCCCCTGGCTCAGGATGCTTCTTCCCTCCTCCTTTAACTAAGGAAGCATCTGAATTGGAGTAGGGGTGTGGCCTGGCTTCAATTCCAACAGGGCCACTGTATAGGGTGTGTGACTCCAGCCAAGGGCTCCTAGGGCACCTGACATTTAGGTTTTTCTTCCAGAGGTTGAGAAGGCACAAGCTGGGACCTCCCGAAGGGCTGCTCTTTCTCCTAAGCTGCCCCCGTCCCCCACAGGTCTACTCGTACCTCCTAGACCACCTAAAGGAGCAGCTCAGTAGCCCCCCACCGAGGGGTAACTCATTCCCAAGGAAGAGGTCACTCTCCACGACGGCTCTATCTCCACTAAGGCAGTCACTCGTTCTCCCCGGCCCTCCAGAGGGTCATTCGTTCCCAGAGAGGAGATCACCCCTTCCTGGTAGAGCCAATGCCACTTTGCGGGGGTCGCTCGTTCTCCCCGGCCCTACTGACGAGGTCACTCGTCCTCAAGGGAGAACTCACCCCCTCTCCACGGGTCCCACTCCCCCCGAGCGAGTCGCTCGTACCGGAGAAGGACGTCGCCTTAGCCCGGCCCCCGCCCCGAGGCGCAGCACCGCCTCCTTCCGGGCCCTCCCACGCGAGTAGCGGCGCCCCGGGCCGCGGGCCGCCTGGGCGGGGCTCCCGGGCGCGTACCAGGCGGCGGGCCGGGTGGCGGGGCGCAGAGCGCGGAGCCGGGCGGCGAGGTAGCAGCTGGCCATGGCAGGCTGCTGCGCGGTGCTGGCCGCCTTCTTGTTCGTGTACGACACGCCGCGCATCGTGCTCATCCGCAGCCGTAAAGTGGGGCTCATGAACCGGGCTGTGCAGCTGCTCATCCTGGCCTACGTCATCGGGTGAGCGCGGTCGCAGGCGCTGTCCCCGAGGGGCTCGGGGGTCCGGAGTGTCGCGACGGCCGGGAACTCCCCTTCTGGGTCCTGGCCGTGCACCTGCTGCTCTTGGCCTAGGTCACCGGGCGAGCCCCGCAGGCGGCCTCCAGGCGCGGTCCGGGAGACGGCGACCGGAGGCGGCTGACATACGCCTCTCCGGACCCTGGCCCCCAGAGGGCCGGGCGGTGGGCCGGGCTCCGGGGCAGGAGACTGCTTTGATACTGTGGTTTTTTTTTTTTTTTTTCAGGGCAAAGCCTGGCTGGACCTTCATCCTCACCTTTCCTGTTTCTTGTTCCCTGAGTTGCTCCATGCTGTCCTTTGGCTTTGCCCTTAACCTTTCAATCTTTGCACTTCACTTCCCATTCTGATGATCTGCTGACAGAAACCAAGGCTTGGACTTTCCATTTGGTTCCTTTTCGGCCAGTGGCTTCCGGTCCTTTCCTTTAGGTATCATGTGGTAACCCAAGATGATGAAGAGGTCACACTCTAAAAAGCATTTAAAGTTCACTTCGTCTTGTGGAGTTGTTGGGGTTTTTTTGTATAGGTACCTTCCTTCGCTTCATCATTCCCCATGCTGCCCTCTTATACTTCTATATGTCCTGCCACCTTCTGTCCCCTCACCAAGTGCTTAATTTTAATTGAGTGCACCCGTTACAATTTAATGAAACTCGAGAGAAGGTAGAAATTAACTGGGCCCACTTTCAAGGTCCACCTGGGGTGTTAATGGTGTCTACAGCTGCTGAGCTGACAGATGTTATCTGTTCTGGCATTCCTTTTCTTAGAAGGCCTAATGCTGTGGTCCCCAACTGCACATTAGAACCTTGGGGAATCTTTTAAAAATACTGATTGCTGACTCCCATCCCCAGACCTTCTGATTTAATTGCTATGGAGTATGACTGACGCCCCAAGTGATTCTGATGGGGAGCAGGTTGAGAACCAATGTCCTAATGTTCCCTAAACCTACCTAATCGCAAAAGACTCACCTGAGGAATTGTAGGAAAGTAACAGATCCTCCACCCTGGGGTGAGGCTTGGAATGTTAACATGGTCCACGGGAATTCACATGATCAGGCAGGTATGGCTTCTAACAGCTATCAGCCCAGCAGCAGTAAGTTCTGACAGGATTCAGTGAAATGACTTCCCACATATGGGCTGTACATCAGATCCACCTGGCCCACTCCCAGGTTTGGATTTAGTGAGTCTCATTAAGTACCACCCCCAACTCCTTGCCCCCCAGTGATTGTGATGCACCCTTACATTTTTAGACCTGCTACTAACTGGTTAAACTCACATTGCTGGATTGGATCAGAAGCGTTTAGAATGAAGGGCTCTCAGCTTTTCCCTCTTGGCTTTTGTTATTAGGGGGAGGATTAGTTTAACCCTATCTTAGGGTATCTGTAAAGTTCTAGACTACAGTAAGTATGCACCGTATGATATAGTAGCCACTAGTCACCTGTGGCTTTTGAGCTCTTGAAATGTACCTACTCCAAATCAAGATGCGCTATCACGGTAACATACACACCAGATTTCAAAAACATAGTGCAAAACAACCAAAAAAGTAAAATAGCACATTAATACATCTTAGATTGATAACATGTTAAAATATTTTGGATATATTCGGTAACATAAAATCTATCATTAAAATTAATTTTACCTATTTTTCTTTTTAACATGGCTACTAGAAAGTACATTACATATGTGGCTTGTGTTACCTTTCTGCTGGGCAGCATAGCTTTCTAGGGTTCCTGGAGTGTTTGCTACCTTGATCATGAGGATCTATAAAGCAGTAAAAGCTTTGCTTTTTTTTTTTAATAATTTTTTTATTGTTATGTTAACCACCATACATTACATCATTAGTTTTTGATAAAAGCTTTGCTTTTATCCATCTTCCTATGATCAAAACTGACTCAGGATCTGAACTAAGGGCTTTTTTCTTTCTTTCTTTCTTTTTTTTAACTCATCTCTTATCTTCCTGATCCAATTCATCTTAGACTAAACATGCATTTCTCAGTTATCTAATTCTGTTATCTGTCATATGATAAGGAAATAGTTAATGACATAGTGATTCCTGTAAAACCATGTGTCTCTCTTTAGCAACTCACTGAACAATATAGTAAAATAATGGTAACCTTCCTGCCCTAAGTTTCTGTGTGCCGGAATAGAATTAAATGAAAGCTTATATTGCAGCTAAATTCCTAGAACCCCTGAAGAAAAGGCCTTATTTGGGGAAAAGCCTGTCTCTAGGATGGACAATGAATATGGAGACTGCTCAGACCAGACTAACGTATAAGTAACCAAAACCAGTGATGTTTTGAAGTCTCAGCAGCTAGGCCTTATAAGAGGAGATGGATGCTAGCTTTTCTTGTTTCTAGAAATAATAACAATAATAGTCGCTGGTAGGTGTTTAATAACAGCTCTGGCAGGAAGGAGTTCTGATTTGTAGCATTGGCCAATTTCCATGGTGGAAATACTCCCATCATGGCCAATTTCAGCCTACAATGGCACCACAAACATTGTTCTAAACATCTAATAGGCAAAACTCATTTAACCTCAAAACTATCCTGTGAAATCCTATTATCATTCCCATCTTATTGATGGGAAAAACTGAGGCATAGAGAAGTTAAGCAACTTGGCCAAAGTTATGCCTGATGAATGGTGCAGCTGAGAAATGAACCATGATCACTGGCTTCAGTTTGTGTTCCGGTGTCCAAACCACTATGCACTAATGTCTTTAGATTTTTAGTTATTCAGACTGGTTGTAATGCCCCCAGTTCTTCCTAGAGAAGAGAAGCATACATGTGACCTGAATTCTTGGAGAAAAAATGTAAGAAACTAGATAAAAAGTTACTTGAACAGTGAGATTCTCTTTTCTAGAGGGAGTTTAGCATACAGGGCAAGAAAAGAGGCTTCAGAAGCAAAAGACTTGAGCTCAAATCCTGACTTTGTCATTCACTAGCTGTGTGACCTTTGGCAAGTGACGTAACCTCTCTGTGTCTCAGTTTCCTCCTCTGTAAAACTAGAGAATAATAAGGATATCTGCCTTATAAAGTGGTCAGGATTAAATTAGTTAATACATATATAGAGCTTAGATCAGTACCTGGCACCTGAAAACACTCAAATGGCAACTATTATCATAATTTTGTCATCTCTTGGTAGTTCTGCAGGTCGTAGTGCATTGAAAGTGCTCATATACCTAATAAAGACAGCATTCATTGAGTACTTTCTTTGTGCTGATCACTATGCTAAGTGCTTTACCTACGTCATCTCATTTATCTCCCACAAACCACCCTAAACCTGTGGTTTAGGTTATACACCCATTTTGCAGAAGTGGTAATGGAGCCCCCCAAAGTTAAGCATGTAAAGTCATGTAATTAGTGAACATTACGCTGTCAGCCTTTGGCTATCAGAGGCTCCCTAGCAGCAGTTCAAATTCACAGAATCCTTATGGCAATTTAAGGGGCCTGTTTTATTTTGTAGGTGGGTGTTTGTGTGGGAAAAAGGCTACCAAGAAACAGATTCTGTGGTCAGCTCAGTTACTACCAAAGCCAAAGGCGTGACTGTAACCAACACTTCTACACTTGGATTCCGGGTCTGGGATGTGGCGGATTATGTGATTCCGGCTCAGGTATGCCTCCCACCGTGGCTTCTGTCCTACACCAAAACTTCTGATTAGCTCCTTTCCCTTTACTGACTTTGCACTCTTGATTAATGATTGGCAGAGTTCTAACATCACAGAGGCCCAAACTAATTGTCTTAGTCCAAGGAAGCAGTGCAGAAGGATCTCTTTCTGCCTTAAGGTCTAATAAACAATATTCAACCAGCTATGTTTCTTCAGCTTTAAATCATGGCAGGCTTAAACACAGACAACTCAGTCTGTCTCAAGCCCCGAAAGGTGGAAAAGCAAATACTTTAAATCCTGGGAAAAATTCAGGTGGAAATATTGCCTTCCCACATTTTGTATGTGCTTTATTGTTGTAAACCCACAAGGTAAATCTTTTCAGTGTAGAAAGTTGATCTGTAATTGGAGACCAAAGCCAGACCAGAAGGAAACAGACATATCTGCATAGGATTTCATCAGGAACAGAGGAGAAGGGAAGAAAGAAAGTGTTTGGTACAGCATCCTAGGATCCAGTCTGTTAATCCACAAAGCTCCAAGTTAAATACTGACTCTCTTTAGCCATGATGATGGCTATGCTCCACAGCCAGACCCTGACATATCCCTCCAAATGGCGTCTGTGTTAGGATGTCTGGGGTGGCTAAATCTCTCTCGGCTCAGAGCTTGGCAAGGGAAAGCAAGGACTTCAGAAACTCTCTTTTTCTTCAAGTGTATTCGTTTCCCCCCTGCCTTCTCAAGAGAAGGGTTTTGCAGGATGCCCAGAGGGAGGACTGAGCGAATAAGCAATGCAGGTCAAATGGAACAGGGGATTCGTAGTTTGTGGGAGGTGGGTGGTCCTATGGGCATGCACCTGTGTCAACAGAGAGACCACTCCTTTCTGTGAAGCCATGGCCTCGTCCTGGCAAGCTCTGGGGCCATCACACTCAGTCTGTTCACTGGGACCAAGGAAGAGTGTGGGCCCACTGCTTCTGCCCCTCAGTGGGAAGGAACAGGCAGCAGCTCTGCCTTCCAGCTTAGCTCTGGCCCGGGGGCTTCGTGAGCTCCACAGAGCTCCCTTCATGAGCTTTCACAATGGCCTCCTGCTTCTCCACAGATGGAACACACACGTCAGTTTGCACCACTTCTACTTGGCTCATCTCTGGACTGAAGTTTTCCTAAGCTTAAAATAGAGAGGAAATAGGAAACAAACAGTAAACCCTGTTGAATTGTTCACATCTATCTCAGGAGCCGCTGGGGCAGCTTCTATAGACCACGTGAACAGCGTGTCTCTGTGGGAACACCAAGGACGCTGACGGGGTGCCAGGAGAGACACTCGGGCATCGTGCCACATCCTCAGGCCTCCTCTTGGGGTCATTTCCTGTCTCCCAAATGGCTTGTTCTAGGCCTTTCTTTGGAAGATGCCAGCCATTCCCAGAGCTTCCACCACCTTGTCAGACCTGGGGGTGGAGATGTCTACAGACACTTTGATCCTTGAGTTACCCTGATCCCCCAGATGGCTGCCAGTGCTGACTCCACTTTTCCCGGGAGTTTGAAATGCTGAGAGAAAGCTTCTGGTATTTCATTTTAGAATGCCAGTGCTCAGTGAGGGGGAGGTCCAACTAGAATTTTTGGGCATCTTTGTCTTTTACTCCTAATGTTGGAAGGTCCTTAGCAACTGACTCTTTAGTCTCATCCCCAGTGAACTGCACTCCAGAAACTGAATCAACCATTTGGCACCTTCCTAGGAGGAGAAAACAGAACCTTCTCGAAGGGAGAAGCATCGGTTATGGACCCTGACTGGGTCTTCTCTAGAATGTTTTATTTATTTAATTTCAGTTAGGAAAGAAAACCAGCCAAACTTGGGACCTTGGTGGCCTTGTGTTTTTGTACCTCTGAGGCAACCTGGTTGGCAGACGATGTTTTGCGCACCTGTTGGATCTTTTCCCTCAACAAGCCAAGTTTAATTAAGGAGCCACCTCAGGTGATGAGCATTTCTTTTTCCACTGAGGTGAAATTCATATGTCATAATATTAACTATTTCAGATTGAAAAATTCCGTGGCATTTAGTACATTCACAATATTATGCAACTATCACCTCCTTCTAGTCCAGAATATTTCGTTACCCTAAGAGGAAACCCCACCCCCATTAAGCAATGGCTCCCCATCCCACCCTCTGCCTTACCCCCACCTCCAGGGCAACCACTCATTCTGTATTTATGGAAACTTCATAACAATAGAATCACGCAACAAGTGGCCTTCTGTGTCCGACTTCTTTGACTTAGCGTCCTATTTTTGAGGTTTGTCCACGTTGCAACATGTGTCAGGGCCCCATTCTTTTTTATGGCTGGGTCATGTTCCATTATAGATACACACACAGGTATAGATAAACACAATCTGTTTATCCATTCATCTGTCAATAGACATTTGGGTTATTTCCACCTTTGGGTCACGATGAATAATGCTGCCATCAACATACGTAAACAGTAGGCCCCACCCCCCACCCCTCATCCACGGTTTCAGTTACCCATCGTCAGCTGCAGTCCAGAAACAGATGATCCTCCTCCTCCTGACATATCCTCGGGTCAGTAGTAGCCCAAGGCTACATCACAACGCTCCCATCCCTCGCCTCCCTTCCCCTCATCACACAGCCATTTTATCGTCACCCGAAGAAGGGTGAGTACAGCACAATAAGGTATTTTGAGAGAGAGAGGCTACATTCACATAACCATTATAGCATATTATTATAATTCTATCTTAGTATCAGTTATTGTTGTTAATCTCTTACTGTGTCTAATTTATAATTTAACTTTATCACAGGTACGTACGTCTCAGAGAAGACATAGTCCATATATACTATCTGCAGTTTCAGGCGTCCCCTGGAGATAAGGGGTACTATGGTACAAGTATTTATTTGAATCCTGTCTTCAGTTAGGTTATAAACTCTCGAGAACAAGAGATCAAAAGATCATTTTTTAAATTGTTTTTTGCATGGCATGTGGGAGAAGTGAAAGGTACTGTCCTATTAAATGAGTGACTGGTGTTCTTCGTGGCTTGGCTTGATTCCTTTGAAGGTAACAGGGTGATGCTGTCTCCCTTCTGCAGGAGGAAAACTCCCTCTTCATCATGACCAACATGATCATCACCGTGAACCAGACCCAGGGCTCCTGTCCTGAGGTAGGCAGCTTCTCCGGGAAGAGCCTCAGGCCTCAGGCCCCTCTCGTCGGCACCTGACTGACCACATGGCATTTCACTCTTTCTTCTTTTTCCAGCTTCCAGATAAGACCACTGTGTGTAAATCAGATGCCAACTGTGTTGCTGGCTCTTCAGGCACCCACAGCAACGGTATGAGCACGTGGCTGTGACCCCACAGCAGACACTTAGCCTGGGGAGGGCAGCCCCTGACTAGATTGCCTCCTCTGTGGGGCTTCTCTCATAGAGAAATCTTCAGGATGGAGAAATCCCCCACATTCCCCAATTCCTCCACATGACCCTGAGTGAGGCTGCTGTTCAGATTAGGGTCCCGGGATCTTCTCAACATTCACCTGTCATCCGTGCCCCAGAAGCCATCCCAGATCTTGCCCTGTGCTGGGGCTTGGCATCGTCCTAGCCCTGCCCTTGGACTCAGGCAACTCTTTTCCTCTCATTTCTGGAAACTGTATAAATCCCAGAATTGGGATAGGTCAGGATTGATTGCACAGGATGCTGTGCTGGTGCTCCCACTCTCTACCTTGCAAAGTAGAAAATAGGAGACCCCTGCAGACCTGGGTCCCCCTTGCACCTGCAGGAATTGCAACAGGAAGATGCGTGCTGTTCAATGGGACTGTGAAGACATGCGAGGTGGCAGCCTGGTGCCCAGTGGAGGATAACACCCACGTGCCCGAGTGAGTCCTGCCCGAGGGAAGGCGGCCGGGGAGTTAAGCCTTGTGTGTTGCGCTCTTGGTGTCCAAGTGGAGTCAGGCTTCCGCAGGGTGGGGACCACAGGCAGCCATCAGAGGCAAGGTGGGCCACGGTGTTTGTCACTTGTGATGGGAGTGCAGCTGATTTATTTCTATGTCTGGACTCTGTCAGTTGCAAGTAACTCCAGGAAACAGTTCTCAGTGCCTTACCCAGGACACACACATAGCAGGGGCAGTTTATTGTTCAACAAACTACAAAGAGGCCAACACGAACAGACCTAGGGCTCAAAGGACAGCTTCAGAGTCTCTACATTATGACTCTGCTTCCCCCCGTACTGGCTTCATTTGCAGGACCCATGGTATAGTCCCAGGAGGTGGCTCTCGGCTTACATTCCCCCAAGTCTTCCAGTCCAGTTGTCCATAGAGGTTCTAGATCTGTCCATCATCACATTTTCAGCCACATCCCTCAGCCCATCACTGTAGCTGGGGCATGGATTTTGCTTTTCAGCTCAGGCCTGGGTCACCTGCCCATCTCCGGAGCTAGGGTGGAGTCAGTCCCGCCCAAGGAACACAGCCTGAGAGTAGGGAGGTGTGGCTTCCAAAGGAAACTGGGGGTTCTGTTACCAGAAAAGAAGGGAACAGAGGCTGGGCCGGAAAATGATTAATGTCCACTGAAGTGTGTTGTATAAAGTAGAGCAGGTCCAGGGTTGCCCTAGAATAACATTTTTTCCCAATAGTAATTTGCTCTGCTTGGACTGGGTAGGGTTAGAGGTAATGCTCCCAGAATTGCTTGCAACTCCAGCATTCCTTACCCAGAGTTCAGACTGAGGCCTGGATGAGGCCAGAGGCGCAGGGAGTCCCATGAACCCCATCCCAGGTGTGCTGCAACAGGAGAACCTCTGACTTCCAGATTGCTGAGGGCAGCAGCTCAGGCTAGGGAAGGAAACAGTAAAAGAAAAGGAATCTAGCATTTTTGAGGTGGAAAGGATCTTACAGGGCTGTGCTCCCTCCCTAACATCAGTGCCACTGGCCGTGGGTGTCTACTGAGCGCTCGCAATGTGTCTGGAGCCAAATAAACTGCTCTGTGTAAAATGTACTCCAGAGTCCAAAGACATTATGGGGGGAAAAATATATATATATATGTATAAAATTAATATTATGTGTTTACCTGGTGAAGTAATACTTTAGATATATTGGGTTATTATACAAAAGTTAATTTCACTTGTTTCTTTTTGCTTTTTTTTTTTTAAGATTTTATTTATCTGAGCGAGAGAGAGAGAGAGAGCACACATGCATGCAGCATGAGGGAGCAGGGAGGAGGGAGCAGGGGAGGGGGAGGGGCAGAGGGAGAGGTAGAAGCAGGCCCCCCGCCGAGCAGGGAGCCCAATGCGGGGCTCCATCCCAGGACCCTGGGATCATGACCTGAGCCAAAGGCAGATGCTTAACTGGTGGCGACTGAGCCACCCAGGCGTCCCTTCTTTTTACTTTTTAACGTGACTACTAGGAACTTGGAATTACGAGATGGTTTGTATTTGTGTCTCATTATATTTTCATTGGACATCAAGGTTATAGATTTAGTCCTCTGGAAGGTGATTTTTTATTAAAGATTTATTTATTTACTTTAGAGAGAGAGAGCACAAGGGGAAGGGGCAGAGGGAGAGGGAGAGAGAGTCCCAAGCAGACTCTGTGCTGAGCGCGGAGCCAGACACGGGGCTCAGTCTCACGACCCTGAGATCATGACCTGAGCTAAAATCATGAGTCGGATGCTCAACCAACTGTGCCACCCAGGTGCCCCCAGTGGAAGGTGATTTTTAAGTGTACAGTGATACATAAAATAACATGAGTCACATGGATAGACATTCCCATATCCGTTCAAATTCAGCTTCTATACTTATATCAAGAAGGAAATCTTGGTTTGGGGTGTCTATTGTCACTTGCTGATTTCCATTTCTCACAGAGAATAATCCCCAGATTCAGCACCTTGGGCAAACAGTAATATTAACTACAATGTTTAGTAATATTGTTTTGATTTGATTACATTTATTTGAACAGTGACCACTGACTTGGGGCCAATGATACCTCTTATGGTCATGAAGGAAAATTTCATTTCAAAATGAATGCCAATTTAAAAAGTAAATTGATCGTAAAAGTGGAAACAACCCAAATGTCCATCAACAGAGAAAGAGATAAACAGGTTACAGTCCATCCATGCAAGGGAATATGACTCAGGCATAAAAAAAGAATGAAGTGTTACATGCTACAACATGGATGAACCTGGAAAACGGGGTGCTAAGTGAAAGAAACCAGACACAAAAGGGTACATACTGTATGATTCCATTCATCTGAAAGATCCAGAGTAGACAAATCTAGAGAAATAAAAAGTAGATGAGTAGTTCCCAAAGGCTGGGCAGAAGGGAGAATAGGTAACTACTGTTAAATGGGTACAAAGTTTCCTTTGGGGGTGATAGAAATGTTCTAGAACCAGATGTTGGAGATGGTTTGCACATTGTGAATGTGTTTAATGCCGCTGAATTAAACACTTTAAAATGGTTAATTTTACGTTATGTGAATTTCACCTTAATTTTTTAAAAACGGTGAGTCAATCTTGAAAGTATTGCATATGAGGGGCTCCTGGCTGGCTCAGTGGGTAGAGCGTGTGACTCTTGACCTTGGGATTTTGAGTTTGAGCCCCCACACTGGGTGTAGAGATTACTTAAAAATAAAATCTTTTTTTAAAAAAAGTATTGCATATGAGGTAGACAGATGTGGGGGGAAAGTTATAGTATAGGGAATGACAGGGGCGCCTGGGTGGCTCAGTTGGTTAAGCATCTGCCTTCGGCTCAGGTCATGGCCCCAGGGTCCTGGGATTGAGCCCCACGGTCCTGGGATTGAGCCCCACATGGGGCTCCCTGCTCAGTGGGGAGTCTGCTTCTCCCTCTCCCTCTGCTGCTCCTCTTGCTTGTGCATTCTCTCTCTGACAAATAAATAAATAAAATCTTAAAAAAAAAAAGTATAGGGAATGACAGTAGTTCGAAAAATCCTGATATAATGCATCCCTCTGGATACAGGGATGAGGGGATTTGAAGCCCCTGGAAAAGTGCCTTGGTCAAGGCCTTTCTCTTTGCTGTGTGGCCTTGCTTCTGTCTCAGGGTTGAGAAGACTGTTGATACTGTTTCTAAACTCAAAGATTCCACCTGGATCAGGGGAGCCCCCCGACACACACACACAGAGAGATCTGCCTACAGCGCTGGATTCTCCATAGAAACCCACCAAAGAAGTGGGGTCCCCTCGGAGCCCCAGATTCAGCTTGTACTGTCAGCACAGAGCTGACGTGGCACCTCAGAGCCGAGACCCTGCGCCAACAGACACGTGATTTTTATGTACTTTTGAGATGAGGTCAGGATCCACCCTGTGGGTGAATTTACCTTTGCTTTGACTTGTAAAACCAGATCTGTGGAGCCTTCCCCTGAGAGCGCCTGAGGGAGGCGAGCTCTGGAACCCCACAGCTGCAGGCTGAATAATTTCCCCGGGAAGCCACTAGGCATCACCCCTCCTTCACTATTCCTCCAGCTCTTAAACTCCCACTGCCTTCAGCAAGAGGCACGAGAGGAAGAAATGGAAAGGCTTGGTTGAGTCTCCCCTGCTGACCTAGTGTTTATGCAGAGGAGAGTAGGAAATGCTCGAGATGTTTCACTTTTTTTCTTGACAAAATGACATTGTAAGGCACATGTGCACGTGCTTTGTTAAAACATTGCCTAAGGATGTGATATACATATATGTGTACTTTTATTAACGATCCATTATGATTTTTTTCAGACCTGCTTTTTTAAAGGCTGCGGAAAACTTCACTCTTTTGGTTAAGAACAACATCTGGTACCCCAAATTTAATTTCAGCAAGTAAGTGGTGGCTGCCCGAGTGAGTTCCCCCGTGTTTTAGAGCGACTTCTGGCTCTTCTTTGAGGTTTTCCTAGCTTCATTTCTGCTTCCTCTTGATTTCAGGAGGAATATTCTTCCCAACATCACCACTACCTACCTCAAATCGTGCACTTATGACGCTGTAACAGATCCCTTCTGCCCCATATTCCGTCTTGGCAAAATAGTGGAGAGCGCAGGGCACAGCTTCCAGGACATGGCCATCGAGGTACGCACGGGCCCCTGGCTTCTCTGACAGTTCTCAACACACCTCATTCTAGAATGGGCCCCAAGGAAAGCTTGCTCTGTCTCTGCTCAAAATCCACAGGGAGGCATCATGGGCATCCAGATCAACTGGGACTGCAACCTGGACAGAACCTCCTCCCTCTGCTTGCCCAGGTACTCCTTCCGCCGCCTGGACACCCGGGATGTGGACCACAATGTGTCCCCTGGCTACAATTTCAGGTAGGCGTGAGCTTGGCCCCCGGTTCTCTTGTGTGGGGGCCGGGGGCAACAGTGGCTGGATCACTCCCCAGTGGGGGCATCCATGCCCATCAAAGACCAGCACTCACTCAGCCCCCCAAGGGCAGGTGGGAAGGCTAGGTGCCAGAGACAGTGTTCAAGCAGAGCCTTGTACCTGTACTGATTTTGAGGAGCGGGTGAGCTTGTGATCCTCTGCACCAAAGACCTCTGGGGCCTGACCCAGGAATTAGTTTCTCAAAGACCAGGTCTGCCCCTGGAATCTCCAGGGTACGGGGGATACAGGTTTAAGCCTCAGGAAAGGCCTTCACTGGCATTTCCCTGCTGAAAGTACCATATATGAGTGTCCTGGGGCTTTTAACAAAGTGGGTGGCTTGAAACAACAGGAAGTTACTATCTCCTAGATCTGGAGGCCAGAGGCCCCAAATCGGTATCAGCAAGGCCAGCCACCTTCTTTGCCTCTTCCAGGTTCTGGCGGCTTCCTGCGATGCTCAGTGTTCCTTGGCTCATAGACCCATCACTCCCGTCTCTGCCACCCTTGTCACATGGCCTTCTTCCCTCTAGGCACATCTCTGTGTGTCCCCTCCTTATAGGACACCAGTCATATGGAATCAGAGTCCACGCTAATCCAGTACGAGCTCAGCTTAACTCATTCCACCTGCAAAAACCCTGTTTCCCTAGTCGCATTTCACATTCACAGGTTCCAGATGGCTACAAGTCTTGGGTGACAGTGTTCAACCCAGGAGAGCTGGTCATTTGACGGAAGGACCGAGGGGCCAGGGTCAGGTTTGCCACTTCCTTGAGGCAGCAAAAACCTTAGCCATGTACGTTTGCGTGGGCGCTCTGTGGCCTCTTTCACGAATTTTGCCACCTTTAAACAAAGCAGCCCTACCAGGGGCCACCCGAGTAGGTCTGAGGTGCTTTTGTGTTGCACTTGTCTCCCTCTAGTGGTGACGTGTAACAATCAAAGACACGTGGGATCATAGAACCATCCGGAATTGCAGTCGGCTATCGTTTTGAACCATCTGGCTCACTGACACTGGGGCAGATATTTGAATTTTTTTTTTCCTAGGAAAGAAATTAGGTTTGGGTTGCTCTAGCTCTGTTACACAGTTCTAGAAACCATTGTGGAAAACCTCAAGCTTGGGTCAGAACCTCGGGACAGAAAGAAGCTTATGGGAGCCCTCACCAGAAGGACACCCATCCCCCTGACCTCCGCTGGTATCAGGCCCCACCTGAATTCCCCAGGCCCGACCAGGGCATGGATGCCGGGGGCCAGACCGATCATGGCCCAAGAGTTCAGGCTTCTCTGAACCAATGCCCTGTATAACACGGGCAGCAAATGGCATCATGGCTCAACAGCGCCCCCATCACCACCATTCCCCCTTGTGGGTTGTTTTTTTGGTTTTTTTTTTTTAATGGCTTTATCGAGATATCGTTCACCTACCACATAGTTCATCCATCTAAAGTGTGGGATTGAATCGTGTTTAGTCTAGTCATGAAGTTGTAGGACTATCACCACAATTTTAGAACATTTTCATCACCTCAACGAGAAAGCCCATACCCTTCAGCCATCACCTCTGTCCTCCCTTCTACCTCAGTCCCCGCCAACCACCGTCTACTTCCTGTCTCCCTGGACTCACATGTAAAAGGAATCACACACTGTGTGGCCTTCTGTGACTGGCTTCTTTCCCTCAGTATCATGTTTTTTTGAGTTTCATCCGTGTTGTAGCATTTATCATTACTTTATCTCTCTTTATGGCCAAATAGTATTCCGTTGTGTGGAATTTTATTTATTTTATTTATTTATTCATTTATCCATCGATGATGGGTCAGTGGTTCTTTAAAAATATGTCCAGTGCTGATTCTGTGAGTTTTGTGGAGTTTCGTGGCCAGCTCCATGCCCCTACCCACAAGGCAGGCCCGGGGTTTGCTGCTTGCTGACCATATTCTGTTAGTGGCCAGGATCTCCTTGAGACAGGCAGGTGGCTCAGCTGTGCTATGGACGATATTCAGAGTGAGAGGTTCCAGCTCAGCCGTAGGAGGCGACAGTGATGCTGGAAGAGTTCTTCTGGTGCCCCATGGGCCCTGGCACCCTCCTGCCAACAGCCCAGCCCTCACGCTGCATGCCCCACAATGACCGGGAGAGGCCTGGAGATGCTCAGGTGGATCCAGCCACCTGTCTGTCCCTGCCCTGTGCCTTCTGCTTCTCATCTGTCCTCCTTCCCTAGGTTTGCCAAGTACTACAGTGATCTGACTGGTGCTGAGCGCCGCACGCTCATCAAGGCTTATGGCATCCGCTTTGACATCATAGTGTTTGGAAAGGTAGCCTGGCCACCCCTTCCTCTCGGGGCTCTGGTTCAGACCCAGGCTTCTGGGTTGGCCAGAGACAAGGGGCCCTCTCCCCACCTTTTATCTGCTCATGCCCTCTATCACAACTTTTTCTTTTTCTCCTGTCATTTGTAGGCTGGGAAATTTGACATCATCCCCACCATGATCAACGTCGGCTCCGGTTTGGCGCTCTTAGGGGTGGTGAGTGACTTAGACTGCTCCTTCACCCCCGGGCCTGGGGCCCTCCTCAGCAGTAGTTAGCCCAGCGAGGTGAGACCCTTCACTGGCATCTTGGTTCTTCCCCTTGACCCTAAACTCGTTTCTAGAATCGACCCTCTAAGGCTTGTTGCCCTTGCCTCCAGCCCCACCTCACCTTCGCTTCTCCAAGACCACAGCCCTTGGGGCCTCACCTTTTCCAGAGAGGGGGAGCCTTGCTTTATTTTCCTTGAAAGATTCTAGGCTTTGTGGGAAGGGGCATGCGCAGAATAGCAGGGGCGAAAGCATCCCGGCTCATTCTCTCTCACCCTATGCCACACTCAGGCGACGGTGCTATGTGACGTCATAGTCTTCTATTGCATGAAGAAAAGATACTACTACCGGGAGAAGAAATACAAGTATGTGGAGGATTATGAGCAGGTAGGCCACCTCCTGAACTCCAGAAGGCAGGAAGGTCCAAGTACCTTGCCTCCTGCACCTCTTTCTTGTACCAGTGGTGAGCACCTGGAGTACTGGGCCATCTGGGGAAGGCCCTAGCGCAGCAGTGCTATTGGGCATGTGGTCAACCCAGGAGGCCGCACACCGCTCCTTCTCTGCTCCACTTCTAGACCATCCCTCTTTAAAATCTAGCCTTGGGGCACCTGGGTGGCTCAGTCGGTTAAGCGTCTGCCTTCGGCTCAGGTCATGAACTCAGGGTCCTGGGATCAAGCCCCGCATCAGGCTCCCTGCTCAGCGGGGAACCTGCTTCTCCCTCTCCCTCTGCCTCTTGCCTCTGCTTGTGCAAGTGCGCATTCTCTCATGCTCGCTCTCTCACGCGCATGCGCACATTCACTCTCTCTCAAATAAATAAAATCTTTTAAAAAATAATAAAATGTAGCCTCATTTTGATTAGTGACATCTCAGGTTAGTTACAATAATGAATATTATCACAAAACCCCACACGAAACTTGCCTTGCATGGCAAGAGGGGTTGGGTACCATGCTTTGAGACCCCCTGCATGAGGACTAACCTGAGTATGTTCCGTTGTGAAGGGCTGCCCAAAAGTCCTGGCTCTCACCCGCCCCAAATGGTCCAGACTTACCTGTGGGCAGCACGTGGTGGGTGTACGTTTATCCATAAGCGCACCAATCAACAATAAGCATATCATTCTTTGCAGGGTCTTGGTGGTAAGATGGACCAGTGATGCTTCCTCCACACCTGGGCTCCCTCCGGCCCTCATCAGATCACAGCCAAGAGGGAGAAGAGGCTGCCATGTCACCTCAGAGAAGGTTCCAGATTCTGAATCCATCTCCACTGCACAAGAGCTTCATGGTCGCCCAGCTGTTCTGTGTGTAGGATGTGAATAGTAAACCACCCTGACACTTGGGGGTGTTGGGGCGACCTCTGGCCCAAGGGTGGTGCTGCTCCTGCCGCTGCAGGCCTGGGGCCTCATCCAGAGCCAGCCTTCCTTGGGGGGGGGGTCCCAGCTCCAGCTCCCTGTGAGATAGGCCCAACTGAGGCCCGGCAGCTCGGTTCAAGCACTTTATGAGGGAAGGAAGGACAGCCAGGTGTGGTCGCTGGACCTCCAGCACGCAGGGGCGTCCGTGCTGTCACGGGACAGTGTCTGTCCTTTGAGAAAAGGCACGTTGAGGTGGTCAAGGACCAAACATTAAAACGATTTTCTCAATCTTTGTGTGGTTTCATAGCACGAACTAGAACTTTCCTCCCTTCCCTTTTACTTCAACCAGTAAACCCATTTGTTGTCCCAGCTCACTGTGCTCAGAAAAAAACTTCCTGAAGCAGTCTGCGGTTGGAGCTTAGGCGTTTCCCCCCTGCTTCGACCTTCTCTTGAAGGCCTGGGAGTTTTGATTTTTGTCAGGTTGTGTTCCTACAGGATTTACAAGATTTTGTCCTGTAGTGACTACTTGTCTTACCCGTGTGTGTGCTGGTGTTTTGTTTTGTTTTTTTTTTTTATACCCAAAATTGTGGTACTACACTGTGGAGGACACAATTTTAGATAAGAACATGGCTTATCCTTCTTCCCTCTCCATTCGCTTTCCAGAAGTCTCCAAGCCACAAGCAGCACCACCTACACCTACTTTGCTTGAAATGTTAATGAAGTTATTTCTAGCTGCGCCTTCACACCGACTTAATTCTGCAACAAGTCTTCAGGATCTCCTTAAAGAAAGCTGCTTGCCTTCCCCCCCCCCCCCCCAGCCGCCAATCACGAATTCATTTCCAAGTACTGAAGGGAACGTTTATTTTAGAAGTGCCTGCTTCTGCTGGATAAAACCTGGGCTTTTCTTGCTTTGGGGGGCGGGAAACGTTTACTGAACCCCTTTGAAAAAGCTCTGGTTCGTGCTGCTTTTTTTGGGGAAAAAAAAAAAGCCTGCCTGAACACACAGATCGAGTGGAGCTGGAATTTTTTAGGGATGGCTTTTCATCTTGCAGCCTAAGACGCGATAGTTACTGGAGGGGGGGGGAGACTTCTCTTGGCCTCCCTTTTTCTCAGATAGAATGCTAAGGCCAGCTGGGGTGAAGGATGGGGGAGGCATTGCTTACTTTACTCACCAGGTCTTCAGCTATATTCCCACTTGCTGGCCCTCCCTGGTACTGCTGCTTAAGGAGGGGTCCTTAACCTTTGCACCCATGGAGGGCCTTCCAGGAGTCTCTGGAACTCCTAAAACTCTGCAAAGCAATGCACCTGTGTGCATTTCTTTTGGCTTTCATTAGATTCTCAGTGGGGTCTTTGAATAGGAACACCTGCTCTTGACTCTTAAAAGGCCAGTATTCCAAAGTTATATTTCTGCAACAACAGAACAAGGAGCGTTCACACTTCATCTGCTGTCCCTTCATAACAGAAAGCCAAGGTTCAAAGCCAGTAAGGCAATGCCATGGGCTGGATTCATATTTGGAGGGCAGGGAACACCCAGACCCTAGACTGAAGGAAGCATCAGTTCTAAAACAGTCTCCAAACGCCATGAAAACTGTCTGTCCAAGCTCTGTAGAACCCTGCATTGGCTGACAAAATTGGAGCCCTTGGACAACTGACTTAACTTTTCTGAGCCTCAGTTTACACAGGATGATCCATAAAATGGGATAAATACCCACCTTGCGGGGTGATGTGTCCTACAACATGCCTGCTCACAGGATGTGTTCCATGTGTAATTAATACTGCTCCCAGAGCTGCTCACCTAGTTGGTCTCCAACAGAAGAATCTAGCAATTACCTGCCTGCTAAAGCAGTGCCTCTCAGACTTCCGTGGGCACATGAGTCACCTGGGGATCTTGTTTAAATGGGGCCCGGGAATTTGCACTTCCAACCCACTCCCAGGAGATGCTGACGCTCCCGGTCCAGGGACCATGCTTTTAGTAGCGGGATACTAGGACATGGTTACACAGACATGAATAATGTAATGCTGAATACATTAGCCCTGACGTGGGCATTTGATCTCACAGTCAGCCTAAGGAAGAAAAACAGACGTGAGGACGGATGTCCTACAGACATCTGTAAACAGTGACCAACAAAAATACCTCCGAAAGGCCCAGGCTTTGCACCATTTTGCTGTCTGTTTATTTCAAGTTTACAGAGAAGCTTAAACATCTGTGGAAAAACACCAAAGGCTTATTTTTCTCTTAAATTCATGTACTTTTAAGTGATAAATACACAGTATTTAACTTTGTACACCTGATAAAAAGGAAAATGCATAGTAGAAAGGATCAGGAATAAAACAGAAGCATCGGGCATTAAATCAGACACAGAATAGAAAAGTCAGCAGTTCCACGAAACTCGGCCCATAAAGCTGCAAAGAGGATGGGAACCGACGACCTTGAAACCTTCTCTAGCACCTTGGAAGCAAGTGGAGGTCATGGTTCTTCCCGCCCCAGCAACGCAAAGCTCCCTTTTGGAAGATGAACGAGAGCAAACAGTTGAGCCCATGCATCTAAATGCTCAGGTATTTGCCTCCTCGTTCCAGAAAGGCTTTAAGGATGGGAGCCCTAACTCATGGGAAAGGCCAAACCCCTTGGGAGATGGCCTCTCCAGCCCCCAGAGCCAACAAGGGGCTAGCTAAGGCTTTCTGGGAGCCCCCGGTAAGCCTGTGGAAGAGACGGGGAAAGTGGAGCAAGGCAGAAGAAGATGGGGCAAGAACTTGTGCAGGCCCCAGGTTGCTTACACCAAATTGGTCCCACAGATGAGCCAGCAATGAAAGAAACTGATAGGGCATCCTTTTTGCTCACCCGGAGAAGCTGCCCATGATGGCTTCTCCCCTTTCCCGACAGACCAGCTTCCGAAAAACCAATGTTTGTGCTCCAAGGGAACGGTAGCCCCACCGCTTGACGGTTCGGCCCTCTGCTTATACTTTTTGCAGGGAGCAGTTCCTTCGCACAGCTTTCTTTGGTGTTTCTTTGAAAAAAAAAAAAGTTGTGAACCCACCCGCCTAAACAGCCGGCATTCCGCGTATGAAATCTTACGTGGGTAGTTCTGTGGCGGAAGAAACAGTCTTGCCCGACGCAGCTGTGTAAACAGTTCTGCAGAGAGCTTGCTACCTGCCCGCCCCGGGCGAGCCGCTCGTCCAGGCCAGAGTCCACACAGACAGGCCGGGACTAAGGACAGGTTGACTTGAACTACTGCAAGGTGCTTATTGCAAACTAACCAGACCCCATCTGCTCCCAGAAGGGATGGTGCCTATAAATACAGACAAGTGCAGGAACGCCAGAGGAAGTACCAGGTTACAAAAAGAAAGCAAGCAGGCCAGACAACCCTTCATCTGACGGTTGTCCTTTGCTCTCGGAAACCAGCATTCCTTAATTCTGTACTGCTTATAAGATAGCAAGAAAAGTCTGGCTAAATGACAGTCAAGAGCTTATGAAGGTCTGTGGAAGCCAAGAACACCCAGGTTCTGTGGATGCACTGGGTAGCGGGGGCACGAGGCCTTGCTCCCATCTCTCTGCAAAAAGTCCTCCTACCAGCGATGATCAGACAGAAACTACAGGAGAGCATGTCCTCTCAGCCCAGTTACTGACACTATTTCCCCCAAGCCAGAGTCCACAAAACACTGGGAATCTCCCAGAGCAAAGGCCTTCCTGTTTTCCTCCCCCGTGAACTTCACACTCAGCCATGTGTGGCTCTGAAAGAAGTCACACTTGAACTGCAGTGAGAATTCCCAGTATGAGTTGGAACCCAAAAAGATAAACCTTTTCTGTCTGGGACTTTTGGCTTACAAAGCAGAACTCCCTGTGCCAAGCCCTGGCTCTCTTGGACCCTGAGGACCGCTCTGGGTTTCAACAATCCTCTCTAAAAGGGTGCCCCAAAGTTTCTGTGTAGATCCTAACAGAGCTTTGCCAGTAAGGATGATCATTTGTTTCCGCTGAAGCAGAGTATTTCCTCACTGGCCCTCCAGAAACTAAGTGCTTCACTGACGGCAACAATCAGCTAGTATTTGAGAAAACAAAACTTCGGCAGTCTCTAGAATACACAGGTTACAAACAGACCAAGCTGCTAATGTACAGGCACAGATTTCATTGGCTCTAACTCTGATCACATGCCTGAAGCCGTGGAAAGTATCCTGGAAGCTCTAAATGATCTCTGAACTACTCTAGAGTTCAGTCTAGTTTGAGAATCGAAAATATTTTATTTACTCGTAAGCCATGTAATGTACATGGAAGTGTAGGATTTCACCCTGAAGTTTTTGTCATTTAACAAGAGATTGACCAGAGCTCCGTTAATATTTCAGAAACCCACTGTGAGTGGCTATCAGTCCTTTAGGTGAAACCTCCCCCCCACCCCCCCGCCCCACAACAACCACGGAACGCCCTTCAAGGGGCGGAAAATCCCCTTTGGGAAGCAATTAAGCTTCAAGCCCTTTCCCTTTTCCTGACTACAACTCTACCCATAAAAAAATGTAAAGTCCTTCTTACAAATAAGGTGCACTGAAGCTCCCTGCAGCTAACTGAGGGCTAGCCCTGCCTGGTCCCCGTGAGCCCACAGTCCTGGAAGGTGCCACAGGCTTGGCGTTTGGGGCTTTCGGGGTTTGCAGGAGGAGTCACACCCCCCTTCCTCTCCCTTTCAAACGCAGCAACTAACTCTGTGGTCTCAGCCCACACCGCCAGAGTTTTCTGCCAGTTTTGCATGATTTTCAAACCCCACACACATTCACTTGGTATGTCTGACATGGTTCTGAGTTCACAATGAAGGATTTTTGGCATAAAAACGTTTTAAAAAGCAATTGTCCCAAAATGCATGTGGCTTTGGGTCTGCAACTCCTCACACCCGCCCGTTCAGCCAGCCAGCGGCCAAGGTCGATGTCATGGAGTCAAGTCTTTTTTTTTTTTGTCCCCTTGAAAACAACAAAGGAAGAAAAACAAAACAAAACAAAACACCAGAGATGATGGTCAAGGCTCTACACACGTGCTGGGTTTCCGTAGGACATGCTGCTATGGAAACGCAGGGTGCAGCCTGCATGCGAGGTCGCGCGTCCGGGCAGCTACTCCATCACCTCGTCGGGCCGCAGAGGATGCATGCGAGCGCGGGGGCCGGGGGCCGGGGCCCCCCAACTCTCGGCGTGGGGACCGCCTTTCACAAGAGCACTTCCTCCTCCCCCACGGGGGGCGGGTCGGGGCCCCGGAGGCTGTCTTCGCTGCCTTGTTTCCTGCTCACCGAACAGAAAA